CAACTTGGAGATTCATTTAGCACTGTTGGTGTCTCTGAGCCAATTCTTCATATCTTGCCAGACAAGTAGCAGTGAAAAAATTGGGGAAATCCCCAGGATAAGGTTTCTTCCTTGTTTCTAAAAGCTAGGATCAGAAAGGATCCACTGTCAAGGCAAGGACTTCAAAATGAGCATAGGGAAACAAGAGAGAGGGTCTTGCTCCCAGGGGAGCAGTGGCAAGGAGGGGAAAGTGGCCCAGTTTCTGCCAAACTGGACCCAATGGGTATTTACACCCCCTCTTTCCATGGTATTTCTAAGCCTTTGTGGTCTTCACAATTCATCCTCCCTCCCTCTGCAATGAGGAACGCAGCTCTTGCTTTATAGGTGCAGCACTGGTACTCAGACAGCCCAATGCTGCTGCTCGGCTGGCTGGACACACGCCAGCCTGCAGCCAAAGAGTTGTGAGTCTCTGCTGCCCAGTCCTGTTAATTAGGGTGTATTTAGCAGGCTCAGCGCCGTGCTGACGTAGCCACATGGCTTTGAGACCCAAGCTGACTTGTGCCTGCCTGGTTTGGGAAGGGGGAGTGCAACTGTTGGGTGGGGTATACCCATCCTAGATGATGGAATGCTCTACAGAAGGACTCAGGAGAGCAGAACTTTGACCCTACCTCTCCAGAGGAAACACGGTCAGTTCTCTTGTCGCTGAGTAGTATCTCCAGAAAGAAGAAAAATGTGCACTGTGAGATCTGACTGAAGGTAGCATCATTAAAATTAGCGTTTTTTTAATCTTTTGCTCAGGAAAATCAGTAGAGGGAGAACTGACAAGATGCTTACTTGTTGTGTAGTCACAGCATAGTGCAACTTTTTAGTAAATCAGGTGATTTTTAATATTCAAGTATAATAGGAGAGAGCTGATAAAGGTGTGTAGTGTTAGTATTAAAATGGAGCTGTAATGTGACAAACATTTGTGCTCTTCAGAAACCTTGAACTTGTGCTTGAAAACTTCTAGTTTAGTCATGACTTCTGGCACCCAATGATGCCTTATTATTGCTGAGATGATACTTTTTGCCTCAAGCTCAGTGGTGGTTGCCTCGAAAGGCAGGATATGTTTGTGCTGCCTCTTTCTTGTGCCCTGCATGGGCAGTGGGTGCTCCAGATCCAGGCAGGAAGATGAAGTCTCTGTGAATTCTCTGTCTCTCTCTCTGTCTCTGTCTCTTCTGCACCACAGCTGAAGTTTGACAGTTTCTGTTGGCCCAGTTCAGGGAGCTAATCCTTCTTTCTGTTTTCTGTATTGCCCATTTTTTGCTGTTTTGACTCCCTGTACTGCCTCACTGTCCAGTTGTGCAAGGAGCAATGCCAGGGGAAGCAAACCGAGCAGGACATTTTGCAGGAGTGTAGTGTGAGAGGACAGGACTTGAGCAGCCTGGCGAGGTGGTCTTGCAACTTTTACATACCAAAACTACAAAATCTATCAGAAGAATTCATTTGTTTGAAGGCAAATGATCATATATACCTTATAGTGCAAGCAGACAAGCAGTTATGTTTTGTATAAACAGAAATTCCAAATAGTTCCTGTGGGAGTTTGTATCAACTTAGACAAATATCGCTGGAAATTTTAAAGTGATTTTTGTTCCTCTTGGGTGTTGAAGTCTCACCACTGAATGTTTCTAAATTCCATCCATGCGTTTAATTGCATAATTCACTCTGAAATACTGTTTTGAATGCAGAGTTCAAACATTTAAAACACAAATGTGAATAAAGGTGACCAATGGTTCTCAAGCTACAACTTGTTTGTCAGCCTGTTCGTCACTCATGATTTCAGCACCAGCTGAAATGGCGTTTCATCCTTTTACAAATATTTAACAGGACGAAGTGTTTGGGGAAAGTGTAAAGTGCCTCAAGTATATGTAATCAAGAAATGTGTTAGGAATAATACAGAAACAATGCTCCAAAATAACAGAAACCACTGAAAGAAGGAGGTCCTAAAGCTGCCAATGCCGTGGTTAAATTCTGTCATGCCTAAAAATTTTACTAAGTCTGGTACTTCATAAATAGATGGCTCAGTGTAAGTCCAGGGGCTGCTAAAAAAAACCAAGAGTTTTTAAATAAATTCCTTTAGTTTTTTTTAAAATAAAGTTCCTTATTGTTCTAACAAGGAAGAAAGAGGTTTTTTTGTACATAGAAAGCATTTTAAATAGAAACTACTGTACAGTGAGAAAGCCTGAAAAAGGAATGACCTTGTCATTTGAATGGAAGTAGTTACACTGAGAAAATACACAGATCCTTATACATTACAATATATGTTGTGCAGTGATTCAGTGAAGATATTGTAATCCTCTTTTTTTCCAGAGACAGGGAGAAATTAAACAGAGTATGACTCAGAAACAAATAATCTATGGTTTTCATTTACAATAGAAAAAAAATGTCCTGACCGCTCAGGGAGTGTTTCATGGGACAGCAATGTATTTTTTTCCTGTGTATTTTTGAACTTTCAAATGTCTCTTTAGCTTCCACATTTTGGTAGGTGCCTGAACACAAATCCTATCCTTCAGGTTCCTTGGACTTCGGTCTTTCTCATTGTTTCAATGAAACATCATTTACCATCACTGTAGTGCTCCAAGAAATTAGAGATGTAGTGACAGAGAAAACCTAGCAATTTCTGTGTGGTATGAAAAGTCACAGTTATCAAAGAGGTCATCACAGTATACTGTTTATTCCCAGTGTCTTGTACTGGCAGGATCCTAGATACCATAAAATATTTTCCTGAAAGACTGGTTCGGTCCCACCACTTTCTGGCAACAGTGATACAAGTATGTAACTAGCGGTTAAGCTCTAAAGCTTCTTGGGGATTTAAACTGTGATCAGAAAATATAGATCAAAAAAAGATCAAAACCATGTGGTATGTTCCATTATAAGCTAGTGGGAACCAGCATACATTCTCTAAGTATCATATTAAAGACCTGCCTTTATAAAGGAGTGGAAAAGTAAAATGTGATTTACACTACACCGGAAATAATTCTAAGCGTATTTGCAATGTGCAATGAAAACAAGTTTTGAAGAATTAGATAATTTCCATATAAATAAGAAACTCTAATATTAACATGGGACGTTCCGGTCCTAGCATTTCAAATTACATGACATTAATTATAAGTTTACTGAAAAAGCAAGTCCATCAGAAGTCAAAAAGCAGCTAATGATATTAG